GGAACCCATTGAAGAGAGAAACTAATCTGATAGTTGTCTCTGATGTACCGGGCTGTTTCTATGATGGATCGGACTATTCCTTGGCCTGATCGCCGCTTGCGTGGGTTCGCTAGTGCTTGTAGGGCTGCCTTGGAATCGCTGTAGATTGTGTAGGACGTTGGATTTGGGTTATCGTCTTCGAGGTTTTGCTCTACCGCTAGTTCCATGCCGGTGTTAATAGCAATTAGCTCGGCCGCTGCAATGCTATAGAACTTGCTGGAGCCGATTCCTTTCTTTGCTTGTCTATGGATATTTTGTTCTTTCCCGAGGATTACTGCAGCTGCTCCGAGCTGTCCTTTTACTTTAGATGCATCTGTAAAGATTCACGTAGCCTGGTTTAGTAGTAGTTCTTTCTTAAAGGCCTCTAAAGTTTCGGTTTTAGGTAGCTGCAGGCGAATACTCTCTAGCGGTGTCGGCTTCCATGGTGGAAGGGGGCAGGTGTCGATTATTTCAGTGTCTTCTGCCTGGTTTGGGTTTTGTAGCTTGAGAGTTGCGTCAAGGGGGCTAAGAAAACTAGCTGCTAGGTCAAGCTTTAGGGATGTTTTGTTGACAAGTGCCTTGCATGGGTGCGAGGCTGGAAGCGTCTTAAGGTTAGAGATAACTCTCTCCGCTCGAGCCTGAAGACGTAGCTTTGTTGGTAGAAGGAAGTTCTCGTAGTCTAGTGTTTCGGTAGATACGGTTTGGAAAGCTGAGATGGCCTTGGTTGTTGCTATCCGTTGAACTCTAGAGAACACTGCTATTTGCCATTTGCATCTCTTTGGGGAATGCCAGACCGTTGAGGCGTAGTCTAATTGGGGAACAACGCATGCTTGATAGAGCTGGCGCATTTGTTTCGGTCGAAGATGCCTTAGTCTGCTAATAGCTAGGCAGGTCTTAGTTGCTCGTGTGACTGCTCTCTGGACGTGGGCTCTCCACCGGAGCTGCTGATCGAAGATGACTCCTAGGAGTTTTACTTCTCGTTTTGGTTCGATTACATGGTTGCCCATAACTATTGCTCCTGGGTGGGTTAGGTCTGAGCTTCTTGTAAAGTGAATAAGCTCTGTCTTATCAGCTTCAAAGCTTGATCCGGTTTGTTCTGCCCAGCGTTGCATCCTTGGGATATCTTCTCTCTGCAGCGTTGCGAGGTTCTTGCTAATAGACCGGCTTATCCGCCACCGGCAGTAGTCATCAATATAGGCAGATGCTCCTCCAGTAAAGTCTACTGGCTGGTCTACCAGGTCGGCATTGTAGAAGGCGAATAGGATTGGGGAGAGCGGGGATCCTTGAGGAAGGCTAGGGTAGTCTAGAGCTGCAGCTGGTTTGTTGTATCCGTCGAACGTTATTGAGGCTGCCCTATTCTCTATAAAACTACTAATCCAGTATCTTGCTTCGGTTGGAATCCTTTTCTTGGCTAGGCAAGAATCCAGTGTCTCTTTATTGACAGCGTTGAAGGCACCTTTTAGGTCGAATGCCATTAGCGTGACTACTTTATGTTCCTTCCAGGCTTTCTATATTGCGTCCACTAGGACGAGTAGGGCTTACTCCGTCGACCTACCTAGCCTTGCACCGAATTGGGTGGCTGGGAGGAGATTATACTTCTTAGTATAGAAGGAGAGTCTTTTGGCTATTACTAATTCTAGTAGTTTTCCGAGCGTATTAAGTAGAGAGATTAGGCGGTACGCTTTAGGGATTGTGTAGTGAGGTTTGCCTGCCTTCCGGAGAACGATAATTGCTGCTGTTCGCCAGGCTTTCGGATGGTATCCAAGGGTAATAGATGAAGAGAAGATGTGGTGAATATGCTTAGCAATATATGGCTAGAGCTTTCGTCAGACAAGCATTGGGAGGCCGTCTTCCCTAGGAGCAGTACTAGCGTTGGAGGAGTTTAGGCTCTGGTAGATTTCGGTTTCCGTGATTGGTTCCCAGCTCCTAGGGGGTGTTGTGGCGGGTTGAGGTGTGGGTTGTGGATTGGTTGGCTGGGGAAAGAAAGTATCTAGTAGGAGCTGTGCTTTCTCTCTGTTTTCTATGGCTTCGCCGTTGCCGGTGGAGAGCGGGGGGATCGTGCTGTAGTTATCGTTTGGGCTGGCGTATTTAGCTGCTTTCCAGAGCTGGTTACCTTTCCCTGCGTTGTCTAGAAAGTCCTTCCAGTGGCTGCTCTTTGCCTGTGCTATCGCTTTTACCCACGTCCTGCGGGCCGTTTTCATTACGCTGTACTGGCGTGTCGTGTCTGGGTCGTCTCTTCCAAGGCTTGCGCTAAAGGATTGCCAGAGTCGTCGGTGCTTGTTGTACTTTACTTGGTGTTCTTTTAGCTCCGGGTTAAACCACTGTTTTGAGTACGGGCATGGTTTGGCTACTGGGGTTAGCTCATTTGTGATAGTTGCGGTAACACTAATGAGCTGCTCGACTGCCTTGTCTAGTTGTTCCTGCGTGACGATTTCTGGTACTTGGCCTAGGGCGTGTTGAACGGCTTGTCCCGCCTTTATCCAGTCTGTTCGTTCGTAGAGCTTTCGTGGCGGTCGTGTATTTGCTAGTTCGACCTCCATATTCCATTCGGAGTATGTAGCTCTGTGGTCTGATCCGTAGTTCTGGTCTAGGAGTTCGCATTTGATAAGCCGGTTTGATAAGTTGCTGAGAGTGAGGTCTAGCGTTGTTTTGCTATCGGCCTTGTTGCTAGCGTAACACGTCGGTGTGCCTCGGTAGAGGTGGCTCTGGAGCTGGTGTTCTTCCATGAACGAGATTAGAGACGCTGCGCTTCCTACTAGGTACGGTTTGATGTTATCTCCGCCCCACAGTGGGTCTTGTCTGTTAAAATCTCCTCCGAGGATGAGCCTCGGATGGGTATTTGCCGTTTGCTTTCTTATCGATTGGCGGATTTCTTGAAGAGCAGCTAGTATTTCGTTCTCAGCCGATTGCTGGGTTCCTCCCATTGGTGGGATATAGACTGAGAAGATGATTATGGGTTGGTTTAGGGTCTGGATTCGGACGGCTGTAAGGTCTCGGCTGTTGCATAGGACCTGCCTTTGTGCTGACGAGGAGATTCTTTTGTTTACGTATATAGCGGAACGTTTCTTTTGGTTTCCAGCGTAGGTTGGGGTGTATAGGTTCCATGAACGGTGTTGTGGTAGGGTTTTAAAGAAAGAGACTGGTGGTTCTTGGATTAGAAGAATGTCGATTTTCTCTGTGTCTGGATCGTTGATTAGGGCTTCCATGCATTCATTGCTTTTCCAGATATTCAATTGGACAATTCGTAGGGGCTCTAGCATTGAAAGCTGATGTGGGGGAGGGCTCGGGCTCTGCATTGGTTGTTTCCTGTTGGGTGGTTACCGCGGCAATCTACGCATTGAGGTGGGCTACCTGGAGGGCAGCTTTTTGTGTTGTGTTCTTTGTTGCAGTTTCCGCATCTTTCTTTTTCCTTGCAGTTCCAGGCGAGGTGTCCGAATCCCTGGCATTTATAGCATCGTTTTCTTTCTATGCGGTAGAATTCGACACGGTTGGCGATTTCCTGGCCAAAGAGAAGTCCGTTCTGGACTGCATTCTGGGCTGCTTCTTCGGTGTTAAACCAGATACCTAGGGACGCGTAGTGGCCGAGCGGGGTATCTTTCTTTTTCATCCAGGCTATGTCTTCAATCTTTGAGTTTGTATCCGGAAGCTTGTTTTCACGGGTAATCTTTTGGATCGCTTCTTCCTTTTCTTCTAACTGGACTTCGCTTGTTGGCGTGCGGTGGGCTACCACTCCAAACCTTGGGCGGTTAATCTTCGTATCTTTTCCTAGTACTGTGGTCCATTCCTGGTTCTGGATAGCTAACTCTTTAGCTTCCCCGGTTTTGAAGCGGATGAGGTATCCTCGTCTTGTTGCTTTTGCTCCTAGAACCTCTGTTTGCTTAGTTGGTTCCTGGCTCTTGAGTGCCTCGGATATGAGGTTTACTGCTGTTGGGGTAGGTAGGTTTCGGGTGAGGCCGTTAGCTGAGATCTGGTCGGGACCTGTTGGGGGGACGTCGATGAGTATCGTCGTGGGGTTGTTGCTCGATTGTCTGTTGTACGCTGGTGGTGTTTGAGGTATACCGTGGGCTACAACCGTTGCCCAGGTTGGGGGTCGGCTTTGGTTTGTTGCGGCCTGAGACTGAAGCTTGCTTTCGAGTTTTCCAACTTGCTTAGCTAGGTTTTGAACTATTATGGTAAGTTCTTGGTGTTCCTTTTTGGCCTCGGCTCTTTCTTTTTGGAGGAGTTGGATAACCTCTTGTTGCTGGGCTACTAGTAGGGCTAGTGTTTCATTGTTTGCGTTTGTCTTCGCTTGGGGGGTTGCTAGTGTGGGCTGTGTAGTGTAGCTGTTGGAGCTGTTATCTTGTATGGAGGTCACGTGAATTTCGTCTTCCATGTCCTGGTTGTGTCTGCGGCTAGCTTCGTGGCGCCTTTCTCTTGTGTTTTTATGCGGGGCAGCTGATTGGGAATGAGTGATTCTTGTCGTGTTTACTGGAGTAGACGTTGACTGGCGTGGTACACGTGATTCGGTACTAGGGATTGAGGCCATGGTTTAGACGCTGTGCCAAGTCTGCGCTTTGACCACCGGTGAGAGAATTTGCGTCTGGAGGGTGTAGACGCTACTGTGATAGAGCCTAGCCTTACGGCCGCGCTAAGGCGGTGCAGGCTTTGCTACTGCGGTAAGGTGTTGTGTGTAATGTGCGCCTTCTTTTGCTGGTGGTATTGGCCCGGGGCGGGCCTTGGTTAGTAAGTTCGGATCCTGCTCCTCAATTTTTGAATTATAAAGCGATTGATTAATTGGTGATGCAAAGAACTATGCCATGTTTACGAAACATGCTGGGCAGGCTGGATACAGACTATTGTGCCTAGCTTCTGAGATGTTCAGGTCATGGATTCCGTGGTCGAGGTGGACTACACGCAAAATCCGGATCTGCAAATGTGTTGCTTTCTCCTGCGGCGCAGGAGTATCACGGATCATGTGACCTGAAGGCCTATGTGAGCTTCCTTCGACAAAGCGAATAGCAGATGTGTTTCTCTTGCCCTTCTCTTGGAGCCGAACTTCGAAAAGGTCATAAAGCTATCTGTACCCTTTGCCTATTTATGCCAAGAACATATTTCTATCCATTTGGCGCAACGAAAGTAAATCGGACTGAGCGTCAGCTAGAAACCTCTGGCTTAGCTCTCTGCCATACGGGATAGCATCTCACATACGCTCTAACAAAAGTTGATTAATACATACTTGCCTATTTTCCCTGGAGGCGCTTGAACTAAAAGTTTCTCATTACTTACGCGTTCATGTGTTGCACCCCAACGGCGCCTACCCTATTTGGCTGTCCTTTTTACCAAATTCGACAGCCAAATTAGGCAATATCGGCGCCTGCCGTGGGCGGGCGTCGATCTGGCCAAAATGGCCGCCAATTTGGTGTTGATGTTGCAAATACATGAGGCATCACGCCACCCACTGACTCGACCCCTGAACGACCCCTGTTCAACACCAAATCAGCTATCATCACCGAGCCGCATCTGCAGCAGCGCCTGCAGTAGCAGCAGTCCCTCCTGCGTCGGTATGGAGGCCCGCTGGTTATATAATATACTATGCCTGGTAGTGCTTCGCAAAAGCAAAAGTCTGAACACGCGTTGATGTATTGTAGAGGCCTGTTTTTCGCCCATAAAACGGGCTTGAGAATGCAGCAGCAGGTCAGTGAGCTTCAACGCTTTCTCCATTTTACCAAGCACGGTTTACAACATGTCTTCTTTGTCCTCCGCCGCTCCCGCGCGCCCTGCTGAGCACTCTGCTACACCCGGCCCTGCTGCTGGTGTTGAGAACCGCCCTGCTAACACCACTGCTACGCTCCTACCGCGTCCCTACGTCCCAGAGCGGGTTACTGAGCCCTTTACCTCCGCTGCGCGCGAGTCCTTCAGCGCCATGATCGAAGCTACTGGGGATAATACAAGGCACATTAGTGCTCTGCAGTACTACGAGCTTCGACAGTGGCTCACTGGCAGGCCTACGAGAACTAACGTCGATCGCCGTGCCCGCCGTCATGCCAAGGATAACTACACCTTCTATGAGGGAGAAGGTGGCAAAGAAGGCCTGTATAAGAAGGCCGGTGAGGGGTATGAGGAGAGAAAGGTATTGCGTAAGAGCGAGGTTTTTGATGCTATTCAGGACGCACACCTAGATACTGGCCATACTGGTATGTATATTACTATATATAAAGACGTCTTTTTACTAGTAAAACCGCCTACTAATATACACTACTGTATAGCTATCGAATCAACATATAAGCATGTTGTTTCCCAGCACTACGGTGTTACCCGTAACGATGTTGCGTTCCTCCTACCCCTATGCCAAGTGTGTATTCGCACGAGGAACCACCCTACTGCTCCAGCGCGGATAACGCCGATCCTCTCTAAGGAGATATTTGAACGCCTACAAGTAGATCTCGTTGACTACTCCAATCACCCTGACCCGGTAACAGGGGATAAATACGTACTACACATACGCGATCACTACTCCAAGTTCTCCCAGCTAGTCCCTCTACAGAACAAAACCGCACGAGCAGTTGCCTCAGGGATACTACGCTGGATACAGGCATTCGGCGCTCCGAAGATGCTTCACTGTGATAACGGCACTGAATTCAAGGGCGCTGTACGTGTTCTCATGGAGGACTATCGTATAAAGATCACTCTTGGCGCTCCTTATCACCCAGAGAGCCAGGGTGGTGTTGAGAGAGGCAATAGGGATATTAAAACGAAGCTTGCGAAGGCCTGTACTGCGTGGGGCCACCCTGGCTTCGCTCATGCCTGTGTGGACGTTACTCTGCAGTCGAATGCTACACCACGGCGGAACATTGGGATGTCTGCTCACAAAGTCCTCTTCGGCCGTAACATAAGGATTGGGCGCGTACGAAGGCCCCTACACGAGAGGGCCGAATCGCCAGTGATAGTTGAGGACAACATTACGGAGAGCTCCGGTGATGACAGTACTACAGCGGACATGGAGGTGGAGGACTCAGATGACGCTGATACTGCGGAGCACGAGCGGGGGAGGACTCGCGGGCGAGCGAACGAGGCGGGCGACGGTTCGCAAACGAGCGCTGGCCCGCGTGCGAACGAGCGAGCGAACGAGCAACCAGCAGAGCGCGCTGCGGGAGCTGCGGAGGTTGTAGCAGGTCCGATAGGAGACCCGTCGGGTACCCGCAGTTCCAATTTATCGCCAAGACCCAGCCAAATATCGCCCTCCGAAGAAGACCCGTACCACTCTTCATCTTCGTCGGACCTGCCGCTACCTTCGACGCTTATGCGGCCTCGCGTACGAACTACTACTGTCGAAACGATCGATCTAACGCACGATACCCCGCCGCGGGCCGCTCCGCGTGTCTCACAACAGCCTCCTCCGCAGTCCCCACTGCCTCCGCGTCCCTCACAGAGTCCTTATACTTCACTGATTCGGTGGCCGCTGCCGCTTACGCCCCGCGCTGCTCGTATCTCTCCTCCATCAGCAGAACAGGAGCTACTGCGACGTCCTGATGCTCCAGAGTCGGTTCGAAGAGGCATGGAGCGCCTCGCCTGGGCGCAGAGAGAGGCGTTTGCTGCTAAGCAGATAAAGGAGGAGCGACTACAGGAGACTGCAGAGCGCGCTCTACAGTTGCAAGCGGAGCAGGCGGAGAAGGCGGAGCAGGCGCTACAGGCGCTGCGGGCACTACAAGCAGAGCGAGCAGAGCGGGTTGAACGTGCGGAGCAACCCCCTGAGCAGCACCCCGCGGAGCATCCTCCGCACGCTGAACACGCGGCCAGTGAGCCTCCGCTCGCTCAACACGCGGCTAGTAAGCAACCCGCGCCTACTGATAGAGGGTGGGACCGCTCCGCAACTGACGCAACAGTCCGCCGACTTGGTGATAATGAGCGCCAGAGGATGGTAAAGCAATCAAACACCTCACAGGCCATGCCACCGTTCACTATTGGCAGTGTTGTAGGCGCGAAGGTGCCTGAAGCGGACCAGCGGGGTGCTCCGCAGATGTTAATCGGTGTTATCCATGAGGTAATTGGCCAGATGTATTCTGTAAGAACACCCTTCGGTGTTCTTAATCGACCTTTCCCTCCGCACAAGCTGGCCCTGCTACAACCCGCCCAGCGCCCTGATCATCTTGATACCCCTGAGGCGAATCAGCGCATCTCAGTACGCCAAGCAACACAGCAAAATGGCCTCTCTCTTGGCATGATTGCCCCCAGTTGCCAGTGTACGCGAGGGTGTAATAATAACAGGTGTGTTTGCCGAAAGGAGGGTCGAGAATGTGGTATCAGGTGCCATGGAGGGAGCCAGTGCTCGAACCCACCGCAGCAGGGTGAGTCCTCTATAGGAGCAGCGGGTGAAGCAGCGGGTAGAGCAGTACGCGGAGTAGCACGCGGAGGACGTAGTGGGCGTAGCGGACGTAGCGGGCGTGGCGGGCGTGGCGGGCGTGGCGGGCGTAGCGGGCGTGGAGGAGGGTCCTCTACAGTAGCAGAGGCACCTGCTACTGCAGAGGCACCTACTACTGCAGAGGCACCTGCTACTGTAGAGGGACGCGGAGGACGCCGAGGACGCGGTGGGCGCGTAAGACGAGGCAGTGGGGTGGCCCGGGACGGTGGCACAACGCGTTCGGGGCGGGTGAGCAGGCCAACAGCGCACGCGCGCGGTGACGATTGAGGTGTTTTTAGCACTTTTTTTTTGCGGAGTTGTAGATGGTTCGTGATATTTAGTAGTCTTCTTTTTCTCCAATATTCTCCGAGTTTTTTGGTGTGAAATAGCGGAGAACAGCGGAGAACGAAGAACTGTAGCTGACTCGCAGACCAGCACGGGTGATTCGGTTAAATGTACGAAAATTGATACGATCTACAACATCAACACCAAATTGGCGGCCATTTTGGCCAGATCGACGCCCGCCCACGGCAGGCGCCGATATTGCCTAATTTGGCTGTCGAATTTGGTAAAAAGGACAGCCAAATAGGGTGGGCGCCGTTGGGGTGCAACACATGCAACTGGAGAAGGTGATGTGCTCTAGTGAAGATTTTGTGTTAATAAACATTTCATGAGAGATTATTGATGTTAGTGTATCTGGTAGTTAGCTTTTTGACAGTATTTGCCGTACTTCATGAAGAAGCGTATGCCACTGCGTCGAATTCCAGCGAGAAATAAGTAAGATTAACCATGCTTCTTGCCCCAATGAATCTACTGACCAAGTTTAATCGAAATTTGTAGCAAATCTAGCTTGCATCACATATCTTGCTATGCGTCTCATTCCCTGTGGAAAGGCCTTGCCCTGAGCCCTCTAGTTGGATGCCGTGAGGGGATAGCGGGAATGTTTGTCGCCACGAGCGGACTTCTTTCTCTAGCCTTTCGTTCTCCGCTACTAGCCGCTTGGTCTCATCACCTAGAAGCTTATTCTCTGTTTTTAGTTGCGCAGAGCGGGCGTCAGAACCCTCTTGCGCAGACCGCCACCCCAGAATCACTAAAGCCTGGTGTCGGGCTCGGCTCTGCATGTCAGAGAGCCTGATTGACGTCCTGTGGAGCTCGCTTCGGGTTGTCGCATGCTTCCGCATTTCGTGACGCAGTAAAAGCATGGCACAATGGCCCTCATCCGGGGGTAATGACGATATTATCTGCTCGTTGGAGTCGGCAGCGTGCGTGGGATCATTGCAGTGATCATGACTCGATAGATCCATATTGGCTCTCCTGGTAGCTCCGAAAAGTGCTGCTGTTGGCTCGGCTTAGACTAAACAAGGCTCGTGTTGGGACGCTTTTGCTAGTGGAGGTGGGGTAACGGGATTAGCTTAGGCTCCCTATGATGTTGCCTGCAGCTTTGCTGGAGTTTCTTTTAGAACGAGACCTGTTATGAGACAAAATATGCTGAGATTTATACCTCTACAGCGAGCTTCATTGTGGTTGAGTATATTTCGCACGTGCATGTTTACAGCATTGATATTTGAAGCTATGACTGATTAGAATATAGACTCCTGCGACCTACCGGAGTCCATAGTAGTTCCTAGTTATGCCGGGTATGCTAAGTGGACTGGATGTATTAGTAAAGGTTTGAAGGATTAGTAATAGTTACGTGCTCAGGCTATTGGAAAAGAGAGTGAAAGTGTAACTGGGCGGATCTCTTATCTGAGAATACTACGGATTAAAGCGCAAGCTTGTAAATTATAAAATAATCGTATGCTATTATGACTACCTTTCGACTCGCTTTCCAACGTGGTATATGGTAGTATGAGGTTTCACCAGAAGATCATGCAGTAGGCTCCCTAACAGCTGTGCTGGTAATAATAGAAGGTGGAAATCATAACCCAGATTTCCAACCATTAGGCCACGGCTTTTGCAATAAAGACGTGGTTCACTTCCAGCTATACTATTCTACCTGTACGTGAGGTGATGTTCTCGTATGTATTTACTCTATGTTGGGATATAAGGCCGGGTTGTTTGATCATCAGGCCATTTTATCTTCGCATGATTCTTTATCATATTTGTTTTGCTTGGTTGTTCCACCACCATGCTATCCCCTGCTACATTCTTCGTGCGAGCACATGGATGCTTCACTATTTCATGTATATAAACCTCGCTGCCAGTCACCTCTTCAAAATAAAGCCGTGTTTACTTCTCTCTCGCTCGATTTCGCCCATTCCGCCGCCACTCTACTCCCCTTATATTTCTTGTACTTCCAGTCTCTAGTCAATATAGGCCAAGGCAGCAAGAACAATAGTTGTATAAAAGAATAGATACGACTCATGTCCTACAATCAAGCTTCAGGACTTCATCTTCTGGAATAGGAGGCAATGTCGGGATAAAAATTAGCCTCTTTTGACGGGGTGAAGCCCTTAGAGGTTTCTGCGGCGGCAAATCTATCAGTTGGGTCCTGTAGTATCGCTTCATCGCCATTTCCGGGTATAGTTTCAAATACAGCAGATAACGCAAGATAAGTCGTATATATAATCCCATGGAGGACCTTTTACTCATAGCTTGGCCAAAATCATGTAATCGCCCATTAATCATGCAAGGCCGTCGAAACCGGCTGGGAGCGCTCTATGAAGAGATTACTTTAGATGAACCCAATGGACTTGGAAATATGTATGTAGGAATCTTGCACATAGCACAATAGAGGGATCAACATGTTAGCAATACTACTCGAGATCCGAGCGCCAAATTTCGTGGGGATTGTAAAGCTACTAGATTAACCTGCATGGCAATAAATTTATGATGCGCGGACAATCTTGTCTACCTTTTCACAATACACCAATTTTTATACAACATTCCACCATGATATCTACTTAAGCATTCAAAAGGAGTAACCGTTGATAGGATCGAGAGAAAACATCTCGTACCAAAGAATACGCATCCCTTATACCGTTGGAGATGCAACCGAGTTCGAAATAGTTTGCCAATATGTTAAGTGTCACTGCCCTTGACTTTGTCCAAAACAGACAATAAGATACCTTGCAGTGATACTACATTGATACTTGTTTAAGTGCATCTTTCAAACTACCCGCTTTTTAAGACCACCTGTTGTTTTCTTCTCTCCATTCTTGCGTCTTTCCGCGATCCGTGCCGAGGACCTAGCGGTGTCAGGCTGTCATCTTGTACTGGAAGTCGTTTGCTTACCTCGTTGGCCGTGGGTCCGATTTTCTCCCGCTCCGCGCCATCTGTCTAGCGAGCATTGCCACCCGCTCTTCCTGCGCCTCGAGACTTTTCGATAGGCATTCAATCTCTTCCCTAGCGGATAGTAGTTGGGTTCGAAAACTTCCCCGGTCCAGCTCCAGCACCCTGATCTGTTGTCCTTGTAGAACTGATGAGCTTTCCATGGCAGAAATACGGCCGTATAGGCGGTGGACCTCTTGTTCTAAACGATGGACGGTGGAAGAAGTAGCAGTAGCCTGCTGGCGGGTGTGAGCATCTAGTTGATCTGCTAGCTGCTGCATATTGAGGTTTATTTTGCTGAATTGACGATCGCCCGCAAGCTCCAAGCTTCGGATAGCATTACCAAAGCCACGCTGTATCTCGCCAAGTTCGGCCCTGGTTATGCATTGTCGGAAGTATGCCTGGGGTTGAGGAGCCTGTTGCACGTAGCATTTGGGCTGACCGATTCGGTACGGGTAGCTTTGGGGTGCTGCTATGTATTGCGGTGGAAGCGCGTACGAGGCGCCGGGTAAGGGTTGACCTGTGGAAGGAGGTACCAAATGAGGGTGCTGCATCAGGTAGATATTTTAGAGCCAAAGGCTCTTGTTTGGCGTCCTAGGTCTCTGAGAGGGAAAACAGTAACTTTGTAGCAGGAATTTGAGACCGATGAAGAGTGGTCGAAAGGACGACTTTTGATATTGTTGGTAGTAGCATCTATCTAACGATCTGCTAGGTCTGCTCGGTATGCTAAATGTGCAATGAATGGTAGGTCTACTAGGTGGACGGGACACGTTTAGCTCTGACGCCTCCATGCTCTCGCTGGCGAGGAATTAATATAAGAGACGCACCGAATATAAATTACCGCTTACTGCTATATATATCGCAGCAGGCGCGTCTGGAGCGAGCGCACAGAGACTGGTGGTCAGATTATGGAAGACAAAGACTGGCTTCCGTTTTTGGAACAATTTTCTGAAGGGCTCAATCAAATACACACAGCGGTCTCTAAAATGGTCTTTCATCTCCGAAAAGAAGGCGACGAACAACCAACAAAAGAGTGTACGGAAAGCCCTCGAAGAGTCTCGTGTAGGCCGGCAGGGACATTCGACCACCAATATCAACGGCATCCATCCAGCCCATTGATAGAAGGGAGACATCAAACCCGCATGGAATCACCGTAAGTAACTCGCCGGGGTTCTCATTTTCTCTAAACCAACGGCCGGCACTGCAGAACACATGGTGCTTTAAAGACCGCGAATGCAGAAGAGTATAAGCAAGAAGAGCAAGAAGAGCAAGAAGAAGGCGAATGTACTAGGCTACCGGTGATAGATGACGAGCGGTTCTTGCAGTATCGAACTCCGTCGGCCGAGCGCAGCTTGTCGGTTCAAAACTGGCGTAATCAGCACCATCCTTACCAGCCACGATATTACCGAAGACCCGGCTGGAATCAATGGAGGAACAACCAGCGGACTCGTGGCCAATAGCCACATGCAGGCATTAGAAAGTGTGAAGCTGGGCGCGAGGAATTGGACGCCGCTTGTCCTTCTAGATTATTACTACCTATGGAGGTATATATGCTGCTGTCTAAAAGAACACGTTTTCTCTTTGAGATCATTGTTCCCTTGCAGTAGATAAATGAGTGGAGTAGGGGTAAGGCTGTTGTGCAACAACTAAATAATGAGGCTGAGAAACATGTGTTACCGGAGTGATTCTGGCCGACACACCCCCTTCATGATGGGCAATTTGATGCTCATCATGACACAAAGGAAACAAGCCTTTTAGGAAAGAAGAAAAGCTGAGTGATAAAACCTAGAGAAATAAATCCAATTTGGTATGGCAAAAGAATATCAGTTATTCGTGCTCGAGAGAAGATGTTCGATATTTTTGAGGTTCAGCTGTTTGACAAATTGTTGGAATCTTTGCGTTGGTAAAGCCTTTGTTAGGCCATCTGCGACCATTTCGGCTGATGGAGTCTATTGAAGCTTAACGTGTTGGTTTTGAATTTCCTGGCGTAGCCAATGCTGATGGATATCAACATGTCGAAGCCTTGTGACGAGTTTAGGTGTAGACTCCTCGAGTAGACGCATAGTTTGCCTGTTGTCGCACTGGATGAAAAGGTGATGGTCTGGACTGAATTGAATTTGTTGGAATAGACGCTCCCACCAAAGGAGTTCTTTTGCAGTTGTCGACAGTGACAGAAATTCGGCTTCTGTACTAGAGGTTGTGACCGTTCTTTGCTTTGTAGCTTTCCAATCGATCGGTCCTTGGAACAGCTGAAAGACGTATCCTTGTGAAGACTTTCTCGTATCTAGGTCGTTTGCAAATGAAGCATCGCTGCATGCGAGGAATACGCTTTGTTGGTTGTTGCAGATTCCACTGAACTCGATTGCTAGATGTTTAGTCCCAACGAGATATTGAATCAGGCGGTTAGCTAGCTGTAGGTGTCTTTGAGACGGATTTTTTAGATGTTCTGCGAGTTTGCTGGAGGCCTGGGCGATGTCTGGCCTAGTGATAACGGCAGTGAAATTGATCGATCCAATTCTTTGTTGATAGGCATAGATCTCCTGGTCTGAAGCTTGAGAAGTCGAAGCTTGAATGTCTTCTACCGGTAATGGTGTTTGCGGATATTTCTCCAAGTTGACATTGAATTTGCTTGCTAGCTTATCAATATAGGAATCTTGACAGAGCCAAAGCTTTCTCTGAGGCCTGTCTCGGATAATCCTGATTGCAAGAAACCATTCGAGTTCTCCTAGAATTCGAAGATCATAGATATCGAGAATCTTCTGCTGGAATTTCTGGACGTGGGATTCGTTTCCTTGAGAATAGATGACTGCAATGTCATCAACGAAGAAGAATAGTAGCATGGAATCGTTTTGGAAGAGACAGTTGACTCCTGGAACCTGAGAGAGTCCAAGGTCATGAAGTGTCGTTGAAAGATGATTGTGCCAAAGTGCCGTCGACTGTTTGAGTCCGTATAATGCCTTTAGTAATTGAAGGATAAGGCCTGGTTGAATATCTCGGTATAATTGTATCTTCTCGTCGTTTAGGCTCCGTTTATTGAGCGACAATGTGAAGTAGGCGGAGTCAGGCGCTAGAGAGCTCAGCTAAAAGGTCTTCATTGTACGCAGTCACCCAAATGAAATCTTCGCGCCTCTCATCACGACGGTTTCTAAGATTCTCACTCCTGCTGCCCTCTAGAAAGTGGCCCAAATACCGAGAAACATCGGCTCTCGATAGCATATTTGCACCAATTCTTCGTCACTGCCATCAGGTACTGCCGTTAGGTTGGCAAACTATGGCCGCTTCAATAACTAAACGCCTTCCCTTGGACGTATTACTAGAGCTGTTAGACTTCCTCCCGCCCCGATGCCTCGTTGTCCTGGCTAGGGTCAACAAGTTCTTTCACTCTAGCCGTACATTGAGTTAAGTAACCAACAAAGTCTTCTGCCCTCTCACATCGGCCTCTAATGCGCAGTGAGAAGTATCACTGACCTTTTTGCAATTATCTCTTCAGGCCATTTGAAGTCCTACAGAAAGAAAAATTGGACTGAAGGTCCATAAGGAACCTCCAGCTGCTTCTTGGAACGTTGGGGATATCCTGTGTACGACAGGTTTTGCAGAATAAAAGTCCGACAACCAGTACCATCGCAGTAAATTCCCTCCCTTCTGTCCCACCGAACCAGACAAGTCCGCGCTCAGTCAGCAATAGCTTTCCACCAGCTATGCCCCCGCTTCTACCCAGCCTTCAGGCTCAAGATGACAGGTCCTGCAATCTTTGCCAGAAGCGAGAATGTCAGTCATAGTGCTATCCGAGAACTCTCCGATCAAGGAAACCAGTTTCAACAGCCAGGTGACAGTGGGACAACAAACTTGTCTACACTCCAAACAAACCATTTCAACGCAGCGGCGGAACTCGGCGAGTTAACTACACAGAAAGGAAATAAAAAGAAGAGACGAGCTCATCAAAGGACTAAAACAGGGTGTTTGACATGCCTTAGAAGGAGAAAGAAATGCGACGAGGGTAAACAGTGATGTACGTCATGGAAGACCAGTATTAAGACACTATTAGGCATAAATTGCACTCGGGTCGAAAGAGAGTGTATATGGTGGGCTACATAAACTATGTAGCGTCACTAGCCAATTAGGACAATGTATTGAGAGGATTTCGCATTGCTAGGAAGCTGATTCCGAGACAGGCCAAAAGAATACAGTCGTTTTGAACCTGCTCCGCCAAAGTCAACAGGCAGTGTTCATCACCAGTCAGCAATCCTCCAAGGCAACCCCATTCAACCAAAGCCACAGAGCTTAGCAGGGGAACTGTGGTCGGCTCCAGCTCGTCAAACGTATCACCAGGAACATCAAGACGGTGATAGACACGTTGGAACCGTCCCAGTAGTGGGCCCTTGCAGGCTGCAGTCACCAAGACACACAGCTCGTTTTCGTCGCTATGATGACTTGATTACACAACCGCTTTCGCCTCGGTATACTCAAATGTAACAGTACGTAGCCCTGTTCGTGATTCTTCATTTGTCGTTTGAAGGCTGACTATTGGATGCAGGCCTAACAGGGAAAATCTACAACCTGCTGAAACGCAGAATTTGTTCATTCAACATCAATCGTCTGTTTTGCCGTCATTACATTTACGGCCTATCTCAACTATTGAGAGAGATCGCCCGCCTCTTTTATCACAACAGGCTCAGCAGCCTACCGCCAGCTCACAGAAAGCCAAACATATCGACCCCAGCCTCACACATCCGCCGCGGGATTTTGATTATGTGGAACGTTCATTTGACATTATTTTGGAACATTTGGAGAGAAACCAGCTTGTCAAGCCTTGGGAACCGCTATATTTCAAAGATCTGAAGACAAGGTTACAAATGGGTAGATGAGAAGCAAGAGGATATTAAAAGGAAAGACGAAGAAAGACGGAGATTGCTCTGCAAAATTGTTGCTAGCTATTGCTTTTGTATATTGAGATCAACAAAGACAAATGTACTCTCTTAGGCTTGTAGTACCTAGATAGTGAGGGCCGGTAGAATTTAGACTAATATTTGGTTTATGTACTGCGCGACTCCCGTCCCAAAAACTTTCATATTTTAACATATAGTTTGCTCCTTAACCATGTCGCTTTGTCCAAGCAAGGTAGAAAGCTTGTCGTAAATCTCTCAATAAAGCTAATTTGTTACTCTAGATGAAACTAGCAACCTTAACCTCGGCACTGGAAGGACGTACAATATACTGAGCACTAAACATATTTCTACCAGTTGTAGTTTCAGTTGGGTGGTCTATCTAGTCAGCTATAGAGCGAAGATATCGGCCCAGGCTCCTTACCAAAGACTCATTTAGGCTTGTACTCCTCACCCGAGCAGACTAACCTCTGTCCGACGAAAAGGTCTTCCAAATGGACCCTCGTGTTGAAGTTGCATCGACTGCCTCTCAGCGCAGGACCCTATTCACCATACCTACTAGCTCTTTTAGCTTCACCTGACGTGAAGCCTGACGTTCCTCGAAGCTCTAGCAATCTCCAGCGGCCGATCTTCGTCCTCGGAGCTGTACACAGAGCCCGCAATCGTATCTTGCCAGTCACCGCGCCTCTCTGTCGCGCAGCTAGGGTGAATACTATCTTTTCCGGTCGTCGTTGCCCTCTTGTGGTCGGCATCAGGGATTGCGTGTTGGAACGTATCAAGCATCCATTGTGCGCACTTAGAAATATAGCCCCAGCCCTCTGGAAAGAATGCTAAGAATTGTAAAAAACCGTGCGAGATGCCAGGCAAGAGCAGCATTTCCACGTGTTCGTATACTTTGAACACACACGCCTCAGCTTTGGCCAGTAAGCCCATCTCGAGTCGTTCCTGCCATGCCGTCATTTTAGCTTGGCGCAGACGACCTGCAAAGACCAACGTATCGTCGACCAATGGGTCTCGTTCGCCTGTTAGGAAGTATGTCTTTGGAAACATGGCTAGCAGCGAGTCCGGCGCCACCAAAGGCGACAGTAAGAAGTCGACGCGGAAGTCAGGGCGGTTGTGTGGCCCGACATAAAGAATGACCATGGCACGCATCAACTCAGGCGCCAAGATACGGTCGTTCAGATACGATATCTTGGAGGGTATGACCAGCTGGGCTCCCTGACACGCAGCCTCAGGTAGAGGCGCAGGAGCGCTGTCCCTCTGGTTTCCCCGCTGGAGGAAAGCACGATCGACGTTGGCGTCCCCTAGAGAAACGCAGGTAGCGGTTAGCAGATCTTCAGAAAAGAGTGCCACGATCAAGCAAGGGTGAAGGGTGCCTTTACCTGCCTCTCCACCATCTTCGTCATCCTTGTCATCGAAGTATTGTGACGTGCCGAGTACGGGCGAATCACGGTGGGCGTCCTTACAACACGGTATGTCTTTACTGATTCCGCGATGTCTTAGCTCCGCTGTGAACTGAAAATTGTCTTCCGTCATCCAATTCCCAACATTCAGATCGAGTGCCGGATATAAGAGGATTATACCTTCTGGGGGTGGCAACGCTCTTGCATTGTGCCAGTGGCGGAGTTCTACGCTTCCAGCCTGCAACACCATGAATACCATACCCACCGCTAAGTCTCCCCCAGCACCATCGCCGGCCACAAACAGCTTGGGAGCTTGCTCTCCCGAGAGGCCGATGCACCGACCCCTGCTGGCTACGAGCATGTGGTAGACATCGTAGCATTCGTTGAGCGCAAAAGGATACGGGCAGGCCTCCCAACCGCCCGCCCGCCCCCGCCCGGGCCCTTCGGGCGGGCGGGCTGGCAGAGCGGGCATGGGCGGGCGGGCGGGCGGCGAGCGGGCGCCTAGGCGGGCGGGCGGGCGGGCAGGCGAGTAGGCGATTACTAAGACCTCTCGCTTAGCCTATTTAGGTAGTTACCTAAAAAAAAATAAAAAAGTAAAACAAAATAAATGCAATACTTTTTACTTTTACTAGGAATCGAACCTAGACCCTTATAAAGTAAGGAATATTCTTAGTTTTTATGAATATATACCTAAAAAAATGCGCACAGACCACTTTTGCTCGCCTGCCCGCCCGCCCGCAGGCAACGGGCGGGCGGGCGAGCAAGGCGGGCGTGGGCGGGCGGGCTATTACGTAATCCGCCCGCCTCGTCGCCCGCCGCCCGCGGGCGGGCGACTGGGAGGCCTGGATACGGGTACTCGGGTGCTTTCTTGTAATCCAGGCTCAGCACTGGAAGCTTGGTAGTTTGAGCCCAGCTCATAAGTTTATCATCGTGGTTCCTCGGGCTCATCGCAACGAAGCCACCTCCTGGAATATCCAAGACTACTTTGTTGTGACTCTTCAACGCGGACAATGGCCCCTCAAAGTACAGCCACGCCTCTACCGGCGCCTTGTATGAAGAGTCTTGCGGCCTCGGTATGCGGACAGCCCGCGGGGGTAACGCATTTGGCAAGGACGTAGGAGCTTTGTCAACGTCGATATGTACGGCGAAGTGTTTTTCTCCCAGCTTGCCCTTATCTGGTCCAACGTGAGTGTAGCCCTGACCTTCCGCACTTTCTCCTCGGCTTGATCTGTGGAGACCATGTAATAGGCAGTGAAGGTGATGGAACAAAGGTCCCGGAACCATTTACTTCCTATCGGCATGGCCGTCCAGAACCCGGCATCGAGCGCTGTCGTGATCCATATTGTTCTGAAGTATGACGGTGTGTAAATGTTCTCAAGCGGTTCTGGGCGCGCATGACCGATGATCTTACTAAAGTTGCGACCGCTGTATAGCCATAGGACGGTGATCACGACCATTTGCCAGGAAGTGAAGCGCTTTGATAATTTGGCGAAAACACCTCTTAGAAGGACGGGGCCGTGCTTGTTACCACTACTGGAAGTATCAGCGAAGCAAATCGAAAAACAAATCAAAGCTAGGGAGTACCCTACCTGTATAAGTATGCTGAGAAGAAGCAAGCGATTGCGATAGCTTCGATCTTGCGGAGCTTAACAGAAGGTCTTCCCAGAACGTAATCTTCGGTTTGCATTAGATGACGCAAGAAAAACAAAAGGTACATAGTGAATAGCCAATTGCTACTCACCAATCATAGTATCGGTTTCTGATAATGCCGTGCGTTTTCCGCCAAGTGCCCAAACTTAACCAAATTGAACTGCCAGCCAGATGTCTGTAGAGGAGTTACTTTATGGACACTCACAATAATATTTGCTACATCGTAGGCCAAGCGCACCATGAAATGACGGAACAACCTACCAGCTAATTACTCTAAGACTTTACGGGACGCCTTGATTCTCCGCATCCTCCTGCCACCTTATCAGGTGTAATCCTCGTTTCCTCCGTGCTGGCAACGTTAGGTATATGAGGCATGTTTGGAATGCTGAGTACAGACTGTAGTATCTACCATCTAAAAGGCGTAGCTCCTTTATCATGTGATAGAGGTGCACCATAAGCAAAAAGCAGACATATAAGCGTGCTGCCTTCTCCTGTGGCGCAGGAGTTTCAGAAATCATGTGACCAAGCGGGTCCGTGCGAAACTTCAATAAGATTGTGGCGCGCTTCACCATGTAACAACCATGCCCTACCAATAGAGGCTGGTCGATAAAATGTCATCATAAAGTGACAGAATATTAATCCATCTCCACGGTTATGCTGCAAAGTGGAACGCTGAGAAAGCTGCCCAACATTCTCATACAGTAGAAATCGTGAACGAGACTTATCGCTCTCCAAAACAGAACAAAATCTACTGGAGCTTTATTTGCTGTGAAGCTGGGCGCGAGGAATTGGACGCCGCTTGTCCTTTCTAGATTATTACTACCTATGGAGGTATATATGCTGCTATCTGAAAGAACACATTTTCCTTTTGAGATTATTGTTCCCTTGCAGTAGATAAATGAGTGGAGTAGGGGTAAGGCTGTTGTGTAACAACTAAATAATGAGGCTGAGAAACATGTGTTACCGGAGTGATTCTGGCCGATATTTGCGAACGTTTTTATCTGCGCGCTGAGAAAGTGGTAGTGACGTACAGGCCTCCCAGGCGCCCGCCCGCGGGCGGCGGGCGACCAGGCGGGCGGATTACGTAACCGCCCGCCCGCCCGGTAGGTCGTTGCTCGCCCGCCCGCCCGTAGGCAACGGGCGGGCGGGCAGGCGAGCAAAAGTTGGTCTGTGCGTATTTTTTTGGGTATATATTTATAAAAATTGAAATTGACTAATATCTAAAACCTAGATGGTTGACTGGTTCGGTTCTGAGATTTCCATGATCCAAAGAGCCTGGGTTCAATTCCCAGCAAATGCAAAAAGTATTGCACTTATTTGCGCTTTGGGGAGAAACGAGGATTGAAGCCATATTGAGGGCCCTAGATTCGCTCTAGGGAGCAGGGTTGTCCGGCTGCTATTTATAGCAGGTCTGTAATGCTCTAAGCGTCTAAGTTTACTATTTATATTGTGGTTATTGGCTTGTGGTTGTTGGTTTAATATATTTAGTATTCTTAGAAGCTTAGTGAGCCTCTCGGAGCGAAAGCTCTGAGGGGCTTCTCCGCTTTATTTTTTTCCTCTATCTAATATATATATTTAGTAATACTCTAGCTAGAAAGAACCTAGTAGTAGTTACTAAAATAGCCTGGAAAATTTTAATATAAATCTCTAAAATATTTTCTCCTTCTTCCTTTCTTTTCTTTTCTTCTTTATGGAACGGTTTCTACGTCGTCCTATCTCACAAGCAACTTCTTCTACTAGTTCTATTCTTTCCTCTCCTCCTACCGAAGAACCTTCTTTTATATCTAGAAGCTTACCTATTCCTACTATAGAAGAAAGTCCTACTCTCTCTTCTCCGCAAACTCCAACACCTTCTTCAACTAGCCATGTAAACTTTATAATACAATGGGATAAGGTTCGCCTAAACGGCGTACCTTTATATGGTCTAGAATATAGACCACGGCACTCCTCTATACTATCAAGTAATAGGAAGCTATCCTGGGTTTTTAGCTACGGTGCGGATCTTCTTACTAGTTCAAAGCAGCGTATCTTTGTGTATAAGCTTTGCCATCTAGCGAAGTCTTACCATAAAGGGGTATATTCTGCTAGTGGTACGGACCATATAACCAAACATCTTTGGAAAGACCATAAGATATCAAACCCAAATAAACCGCTACCGGAACCTATTTCTACGCCTATACAAGGAAAAGATACTTCTACACCAAAATATATTGTTGCTACACCTTTCAACGATATTAAGTTTAAACAAGACTTTATAGATCTTGTTATAGCAGAAGATCTTTCTTATGCTACTGCAGTATCTCCACGGCTACGGAATCTTATTATATCTGGTGGCCAAGGCGCGTATTCTATTCTACCAGAAAGCGGGACTACTATAAGCACATGGATTAAAGACTCTTTTATACGAAGACAAAAATCTATAAAGGAGCTTCTTTCTACAGCACGTAGTAAGATTAATATTAGTACGGATATTTGGACTGGACCTAATAGCCGGTCCTACTGTGCTATTGTTACCCACTTTATCGACTATGACTGGAAACTTCGGATAATTCTTATTGCTCTTCCCCGGATTCTTGGATCTCATACTGGCGAGAATATTGCTAGCTGTTTATTAAATACCTTTACGGAATTTAATATAATAGCAAGAATTGGTACTATTACTACAGACAACGCTAGTAATAATAAGGCAGCTATTAGTATTCTTGCTAGTAGAGAAGCTATTTCCGGATTTACCGAGGGCTCCTGGATCCGTTGTATTGGCCACGTTATTAACCTAGTTGTTAAAGCTCTTTTATTTGGAGAAGGGTTAGGGCAACTAGAGTCTAATATACGACAAGCTGGCGATATAGAGCTATTTAATATCTGGAGAAAACGCGGGCCTATTGGAAAGATTCACAATATCTGTACCTTTATAAACCGCTCAGATTTACGGCGCCAGGAGTTTCTAAGCGGGCAAGCAGATTCCCATATACTAGATAATGATCCAGATATCTACGGGGATCCTACTTTCTACTACCAGCTAGTAGTTGATAACGGTGTCCGTTGGAACTCGGTTTATTACATGCTTAAACGCGCTGTTTTCCTCCGCCAGGCTATCGACCTTTATATCCTCCGGTTTAAAGGGTCTTCTTCTACTGATTATAATCTAAAGCAAGACGCTTTAGATAATAAAGAGTGGGAACAAATAGAGCTTTATCTAAAGCTACTACAACCTTTTAAGACCCTTACAAAACGGATGGAAGGTATTGCCAATAAGTCTAAAACGGAAGGGTCCTATGGTGCGTTATGGGAAATACTTAAAAGTATAGACTATATGCACCATCATTTATCTCTGGCTGCTACAGAGATAAATAAAAACCCAATAGACTTTGAAGAATCTTATACTGCCGGTGTAGATGCAGCTACTATTAAGCTAAACTACTACTTTAAGGCTACGGATAATTCGCCTTTATACCGCGCTGCTATTATTCTTCATGCAAGCCTAAAGGTCAAATACTTTCAAAACGTTTGGAAAGATAACCCCGAGTGGATTCAAGAAGCCCGTACTACTATAAAAGACCTCTTTCTAGAGTACGAGTCTAAAGAACAAGAGCGTACTCTAGAAGAAGATTCTTTATATGAGTACTCATCAGAGGATGACTTTGATTCTTTTGGAATTACGAAAGACCTACTATCTTCAAAGAGATATAAAGCTATATCAGAGCTAGATATATATCTTGAGACTGATATAATTTTACGGGTAAAGGATCCGCTAGAGTGGTGGATAAGGGAAGGCGGGAAATGGCCTATATTACAAAAAATAGCCCTAGATCTTTTTAGTATTCCAGCTATGTCGGCGGAATGTGAAAGGATTTTTAGCCAGGCTAAGTATATTATTACTGACCAGCGTAGCTGTTTAAGTGATAATAGTATAGAGGCTGATGAGTGCCAAAAGCACTGGCTAAAACAAGGGCTTTCTATATAGTAATATATATTTTTCCGCAATATTTTCGAAAGTTTTCCTTATTCTAATTAACATTTTTATATTAGGGAAAGACAGCTAGTAGAAAGTAAGCTCTAGAAATTTAATATTTCTTATAAAAGCTTATAATAGATAATTTCTAGTTCTTAGAACGCTTTAAATAGTACTCGTTTACTTATAGTATTAAGAAAACCTTCTAAGAATTAATTTTATTAAGTTATTTTAGCTGTTTAATGCCCTAGGATCTTACGCCTAAGGTATAGGATTTTTAGTATAGATTTATATAACCTAGTAGATCGTTTTTGCACCTTAGTTGATTTATGCAGCCTCTGTGGTTGGCTAGTAATGGACTTAGAGGTGTTAGGAAATTCGGTTATTTTCGCATTTTTAGCGAATAACGTTCTAGGATATAACTTCTAAGCTCCAAAAAATAGATGTTGGTTCTCGTCTCGACGCGTAGATAAATTTAGAACCTATAGTTATTAGATTCCGGCGTCAGCTCGTAAAGTTATTACCAAAAATCGGTTTTAGGGACGTTGGATCAAATTTTATTGTTCCTCGCCAAGATTAGGCTTGGCAGGCACCTTACCTAATACGGAAGGTGGATCCCCTTTTAACCAATCAACGTTAAACCTTAAGTCGACCCGCCCGCCTGCCCGCCCGCCCGCCCGCCCGCCCACGCCTACCTATCCGCCCGCCCGCCCGAAGGGCCCGGGCGGGGGCGGGCGGGCGCCTGGGAGGCCTGCTTCAAAGACCTTGCCCCACCTCATACGGAAATCAATAAGAGAAAACCCAAACATGTTTCATGGAAAATTGACAATGAAGAAGACAATAGAAGCGAGCACTATCAATCAGAGTCCGACCAAGCCTTGGTGGACAAAGGAGAAAGCGATGACAACCAAAGTGATGAGGAAGAAGACAGTGAAAGTCTGCATTATCAATCAGGCACCGAGCAAACCTTAGTGAGCAACGGAGAAAGCGATGAGGAAAGTGAAACGGGAGATGATAACCAAATCGGCAAGAATGTTGACAGGAGAAGCGAATACTACCAAGCTGAGAGCGAAAAAGCTTTTGTTAACAAGGAATACGATAGTAGAAACCGGAGTTACCAACCGGGCACGAGGGCTGCCATAGTAAGCGACGAAAGCGAGGAGGGCAGTGAAGATGGAAGTGAGGATGGAGGCGAAGATGGAAGTGAGGATGGAAGCGAGTATGGAAGCGAGTATGGAAGCGAGTATGGAAGCGAAGATGGAAGCGAAGATGGAAGTGAGGATGGAAGTGAGTATGGAGCCGAAGATGGAAGTGAGGATGGAAGTGAGGATGGATAAACTATCATTTACACGTTGAGGCTCGTAAGCGCTAGAAAAGTGCTACGGAATTAGGTAGATCGTTTGTTTCTATATAGTTACGAGGTAGAATAAACAGTAAATACTATATGTCCTATAAAACCCCTGTCGATAACTTATATGTCAGCCAGGATCACTCCTCGTTTTCAGCCTCATAATTTATTTGTTACACAACAGCCTTACCTCCTGCACCACTCATTTATATACTGCAAGGCAACACTGATCTTAAAAAGTGAACGTGTCCTTCTAGATAGTAGCTTCTTTATCTTCACGTGTAGCAGTAATTTAGAGGGACAAGCAGCGTCTTATTCCTCGAGCCAGCTTCACATATTATTATACGCTAAGATTTTTCAAGCACGTTAGGTAAAGGATTATCCGGAATAAACACAAGCGTCAGTGCTTACTAACTTGAGGGTACTAACCAGCAGCATTTGATGTTTAATAACGATCGCGATGATAGCAATGGCTGAAAAACCCGTGACATTTTATCTTAAATAGTTTCAGCGTGGTGGCAGCTGCGTTGCACTGTTTGGTCCATACAAGTGAAGTGATTGATTTGGAATGACGTTTATCTTGGCGCGTTAGGGAAGAGTAGCGGCTTTGCCGAGGCAATTGTGTATATAATACACCTAGCAAACATTGGATACGTGGGGAAACACTATTACTCTAGAATGGGTTCCCGGCCATAGGGGCATAGAAGGAAATGAAGAAGTAGATTACTACGTAAAATACGCTGCTAAAACTCCCCCATCTACTACTTCTACTAGCTACGCTTCTTATAGAATGCTAGTAAGAAAGCAAGTTACAGTAGAGTGGAAGAAAAAAGCTACGGACCTTGCTAGTAAAGCTTCCTCCTCCTCCTATATTAACACGTTTAACTGGACGATAAAGCAGAGACTTAAAACTCTTCCTTTTGAAAGAGAAATACAGTCTGCTCTTTACCAATTAAAGATAGGACACGGATACTTTAAATCCTATCTATATAGATTTTCTCACTTAGAGACAGATCTATGTATATATGGCCCAGCAAAACAAACCCCGAGACATCTACTCCTTAGGTGCCCGCTCTATAACTCTCCAAGAGTAATTCTCAGAGCCGCCTTAGAAACAAACAACCCTAGTTTTCAAGAGGTATTAAACACCGGACCCGGAATTCTAGCAACGCTAGAATTCCTTCAGCAGA